CTGTTCCTGGCCTCAGCTCACAGGAGCGAAGGGGGCAGCTCCCCACGGACCCCAAACCAATGCCCAGGTCCCCGCTGAGTCCTTGCCCTGCGCACGAGGGCTCCTGTGGGCTGCCATCTGGGTGCAGAGTCAGGCCCACGAACGCCCTTTGGGTGTTTCCTGCCTCCAGGTCCAGCGGGCGACTGGGATCGCCACCGGCAGGAACATCCTGGCCACGGCAAGTGACCCCAACGGCCTCCAGCTTGGCAGTTCCTGGGATGTACGAGGACAGATCGACTTCCTCACCGAGGAGACAGGTCCCCGCTGCCCCGGCCCCTGCCCAGCCCAGCTGCAGGCGGGCAGGAGCAGCAGCTCCGAACCTGCCCAGCCAGCCAGCGCTTCCCTGAGCCTTCATCCGTCTGATCACGCCTTCCTTCCCAACGGGGAGGATGAGTCGAGCGCTGGGGGTGGGTCTGCCTGGCTGTGACTCTTCTGCTCAGGAAACAACAATCCCCATTTCTCTCTGCAGGCTTCTACCAGCTCTGCCTGGACAACCAGCAAAACCACTTTGGCTTCATGCAGGTGTATCTCAACTTCGGTGTCTACTACGAAGGCTTCGATGCGGAAAACAAGCAGCTGGAAGAGAGGAAAGAGCTGAACAACACCCTGGAGGCCATCGAGGTGAGTGTCAAGGCAACCACAGGGCGCCCCAACGCAGCGGGGATGGGCACGGCCTCCCAAGGGAACGGAGAGGGGCACCTGCCCCTGGCTGAGCTGCAGCTCGATGTAACGCCGAGCCCAGCGGGCAGCTCCTGCCGGCCCCGGGCCCCGCTGCCCAGCACCCCCCTCTCCCGCAGGTCAGCATCCGGAAGCTGCAGCTCCACATCTTCCACATGTGGCGGTTCTACAACTTCGCCCGGATGCGGAAAGGGGCTGACTCCTTCCTCCTGGAGTCCAACCACCGCTACGTCAGCTGGTGGTCGATGGCTCAGAGCTGCGTCATCGTCCTCTCTGGGGTGCTGCAGCTCTACTTCTTGAAGCGCCTCTTCAACGTGCAGACCACCTCCAGCCGGCAGAAGTGCTAGCGGCACCCAGAACTGCGGGCAGGACCGAGCTGCCCCCCTGCCCCACCGCAGGGCGGGAGGGAAAGCCAGATCCTGCTTCGGGGAGGAGGAGGAGGGAGAGTTCGGCCCCGCTCCTGCCGCCGGCTCGAGCCCTGCCTCAGCTGAAATCACCCCGAGGGAAGAAAAGCACGACCCGCTCGCCTGGGCTTTGCCTGCTGGGTCGGTTTGTCCGTCCCAACCTGCTGTTAACGTCCCAACGTGCCTTTTCTACCTGGCGCCAAATAAAGGAACCCCCCAGGGGAGCGCTCACAGCCTGCTGCCCCCGTCCCCCCTCTGCAAGCCTGGGCGAAGCCAGTCCTGCCTCGCAGGCGCCTGCCTGCCCCGTCCTGCCCTCCCTAAAGCCTCCAACAGCTCAGCCCCGGGCTGCGAGCCGCCCCCAGCCCCCTCTGCCGAACCCAGCGAGGTGCTTCTCCCCTCTGGAGCGGCACCCCAGGCGGGCAGAGACCCACAGAAGGGGCGAGGGTTGTCCCCGCCCCGAGGCTCCGCGCTAGACAAAAAAAAAAGAGAAGGAACAGGCTTTATGTGGCGGCAGGGGCAGGTCTGGCGTGGGGGGAGCTCCTTCTGGCGTTGGCAGCAGCCCCCCCGGGTGCGGGGCTGCGTGCTGGCAGCTCTCAGTCCCTCCGCCCCGCTCGGGGCGGGCTCCCTGCGCGTCCCTTCGCCACCGCTGCTGCACCCACGGTGCAGGACAAGGTCTGTTCTGCTCAGAAACGCCCGAGGTCCCTTAGGTCAGCGTGTCCTCGTTCCGCACGTACTCCCCAACGTCGGCCTGGTGGAACACCACGATGGCCATGGGGTCCACTTTCCGGCACTCCTGGGTGGACTTGGCGGCCACTCCAAAACCCTGAGGGGGATAAAGGAAAGATGAGAGAGGGTCTTCCCCACGTCCCAGCCCTGGGAAGTGTGGGGTCTGCGCCGGCCGCTCACCAGGGGGACGTCGGCCATGGAGTACACCACCACGCCCTGGTACTGCGCCGTGTTCTCCGTGATGCGGCCCAGGCCCGACTTCAGGACGTGGTTGCCGTAGAGGAAGGACTGCTCCGAGCCGGGCTTCACCCACACCTTGTACTGTAAGAGAGGCCCAGAGGAGGTGAGGGGCTGGGGCGGGGGGCTGGTGAGG